CTCTTGCCGCATTTGGAATGTTGTTGCATTAATGTTCTAAAATTAAAAAAATTTGCAGATTTGAAGACAAAGAGGTGCAGAAGGACATGAAACTTGTACCTTACAAGATTGTTAACAAGGATGGTAAGCCTTACATTCAAGTTAAGATCAAGGATGGTGAGACTAAGACTTTCTCTCCTGAGGAAATCAGTGCCATGATCCTGACGAAGATGAAGGAGACTGCTGAAGCATACCTCGGGAAGAAGATCAAGGACGCCGTTGTCACTGTTCCAGGTGAGCTTGAATGAACTTAATCTATACTGTTCTGTGGTGGTTATCTCTTCTTTATGTATGGTTGGTTGATTTGACCTCTTGTTGTTTCAGCTTACTTCAACGATGCCCAGAGGCAGGCCACAAAGGATGCTGGTGTTATCGCTGGGCTCAATGTTGCTAGAATCATCAACGAACCCACTGCTGCTGCTATTGCCTATGGTCTTGATAAGAAGGGTGGTGAGAAGAACATTCTCGTCTTTGACCTTGGTGGTGGTACTTTTGATGTCAGTGTCTTGACCATTGATAATGGAGTGTTTGAGGTTCTCTCTACAAATGGAGACACCCACTTGGGAGGTAACCTAACCATGGCCTCAAATGCATTGTCTGCATTTCATCACCTTTAATAACAACACTGCATTTTCTAGGTGTGTTGAGGTATATATGTGGTTGTTGTGTTGACATGTGAATGTGATTTGTGCAGGTGAGGACTTTGACCACAGAGTCATGGATTACTTCATCAAGCTGATCAAGAAGAAGCACCAAAAGGACATCAGCAAGGACTATAAGGCTCTGGGTAAGCTCCGAAGGGAATGTGAGAGAGCCAAGAGAGCTCTTAGTAGCCAGCACCAAGTCCGTGTTGAGATTGAGTCTCTCTTTGATGGCACTGATTTCTCTGAGCCACTCACAAGAGCTCGTTTTGAGGAGTTGAACAATGACTTGTTTAAGAAGACCATGGGACACGTGAAGAAGGCCATGGATGATGCTGGTCTACAAAAGAGCCAGATCGATGAGATTGTCCTTGTCGGTGGAAGCACTAGGATCCCAAAGGTTCAGCAGCTGTTGAAAGACTTCTTNGAAGGGAAAGAGCCGAACAAGGGTGTGAACCCCGACGAGGCTGTTGCTTATGGTGCCGCTGTCCAGGGTGGTATTTTGAGCGGAGAAGGCGGTGATGAGACCAAAGGTATGTACCTCTGCGATGTATAGCTGCTTGTTTCTTCTTTTAGCTTGGAATGTTGTGTCTCAATGTGTTGTATTTGTAATTTCAGATATCCTTCTTCTGGACGTTGCACCTCTTACTTTGGGTATCGAGACTGTCGGGGGAGTGATGACGAAGCTTATCCCGAGAAACACAGTTATTCCGACCAAGAAATCTCAGGTTTTCACGACATACCAAGACCAGCAGACTACTGTCTCCATTCAGGTCTTTGAAGGTGAAAGAAGTCTCACCAAAGACTGTAGGCTGCTCGGGAACTTCGACCTCAACGGAATCCCACCAGCTCCAAGAGGTACCCCTCAAATCGAAGTCACATTCGAGGTGGATGCCAACGGTATTCTCAACGTGAAAGCAGAGGACAAGGCGAGCGGTAAATCAGAGAAGATCACAATCACGAACGAGAAGGGACGTTTGAGCCAAGAAGAGATTGAGAAGATGGTTAAGGAGGCAGAGGAGTTTGCAGAGGAAGACAAGAAGGTGAAGGAGAGAATCGATGCAAGGAACAGCCTCGAGACTTACGTGTACAACATGAAGAACCAAGTGAACGATAAGGACAAGCTTGCAGACAAATTGGAGGCGGATGACAAGGAGAAGATCGAAGCTGCGATCAAAGAGGCTCTCGAGTGGCTTGATGAGAACCAGAATGCAGAGAAAACCGAGTACGACGAGAAGCTCAAGGAGGTCGAGGCTGTTTGTAATCCAATCATCACTGCGGTTTACCAAAAGTCTGGTGGAGCACCGGGCGGTGAATCAGCCTCGACTGATGAGGACGATGAGAACCATGATGAGCTCTAGACGAAAGTCTGATATTGTTGATTTGTGACACCAAAAGAGTAGAGACTAGAGAGACATTAGGTGTTGTTACTAAAGTTTTGAGCTTTGATTCAAAAGAAAAAGCCGTCCCTTTTTATGTATTTTTTTTTTATCAAAGAATGTTTTAAAGATGATC